AGGGAGCAAATGGACCTCCCAAATCCAAAAATACAATCAGATTTCAAAAATTTAAATTTTGATTTTTCGAATTTCTGCCACCGACTGTGACCTTGCCGACTTCCGGCGCTCCCAACGCGCCATTTTTAGAGCTAGGGAAACGAAATACATACCAAACAATAGATAATTGATCAAGGAACACGATAGTGAAGGTTTTAAGTCGATATCTCCCACCGTTTTGCCGCAATCGCCGCGGAAAGTTGAAAAAGTCTATTTTTCCGAAAAATTTGACCTTTGACCGGTCAAAAGTAGGTCAAATGTTGACCTAGGACCAAAAAATATACCACCAATCGCGAGATCTCGGCGAGAGCAATCCGTTGGTCTTTTCCGCTAAGCTCTACGACGCTCCGTTTTCAAACGCCAAGGGGGGGGGTCGCACCAACCCCCCCCCCCCCCCCCCTGCATGGGCGAAGGTGGCAGATCGCCGTTTACGGGCGAGGGTTAATTAATGGGAGAAAATTGAAAAGCGTCTGTTTTGCACGAACGCTATTCTAGACACTCCAAACATCGAGAATGAGATGTAGGTAAAATTGACACATTGAACCAGAAAATGGCAACTGTAACCCCTCGTCATGTCCCCGAGGTCATCTCAGGTCACGAACAGAATCTAACAGTTTTTCGCGAATAACTTCTGATAGAGGCGTGCTAGAGCGCTGAAAACGCCTTAGATGTGTTCGGGTTCGACGTTGCGGGTCGCCTGATATGCAACATGACCTTTTCCGGTCAACGGGAAACGGCGGGGTCATTCGATTTGGCTGAAAATCGGTGAACAGGGCAGGGCCTCCTCAATGCGCTGATGCCGAAAATGTATCTCTTTGAGGTGGTATTTTGAGCCGTTAACGAGTTAACGACCCGTTAACATTTCAGCAGCATATATTGATTTCAGCAGCATATTTCGGGGTGTCTCAATTTAGTTAAAATTTCGCATACAAGGCTCCTTGATGTGCTTATACTTGGGGTTTGCACCGTTAACGAGTTAACGGGCAATTAACATTTAAACGGGAAACGGCGGGGTCTTTCGATTTGGCTGAAAATCAGTATACAGGGTCTCCTCGATGCGCTGATTCCAAAAAAATGTACCTCTTTTGGGTGGTATTTTGCACCGTTAACGAGTTAACGGCTAAATAACATTTTAACGGGATACGGCGGGGTCTCTCGATTTGGCTCAAAATCGGTATACAGGGCCTCCTCGATGCGCTAATTCCGAAAATCTACCTCTTTAACCCTCGCCGGCCGAGGGGGGGCGGGTGCCGCCCCCCATAGCGTTTTTTTTTCGCGATAGCTCCGAACACGCTGGCGATAGAAAGCTGAAACTTGGCATATCTGACCTTTGATTCAAGCCGGATCTTTTGACACCAACCGCATTTTTGGGTCAGGTCAGGTCACTGACCTATGACGTCATAAGTGAACCTCTGCACGGTCTTCAGACGTCGCAACTTCGCAACCGGCAACGCCCTCACTGCCAGAGGAGATGTCACAGGAAAATGAAACTTGCAGTATCTAGTATCCATTATGAGTCTCACAACTTGTATATCTCGGATTTTTCCTAAAGGTCATATGAGGTCAGGTCATTTTCTTGACCTCACCATTATAAGTCAATGGGGAAAAATGAAAACTGCTATTCTGGCGCCGGGAACGATCTCCAACTATCTCAAGCACACAGAATCGTGATTTGATGCACTCCTTGCAAGGTTAGATGCGTCACTTTTGCAATGTTGACCTTGCGTGACGTCATTTATGACGTCATCAAGGTCATATTAGTTTTTCGTCAATAACTCTTGATCAAATTAAGCTAGCGAGTCGGGAAAGCCACCAATGGACTCAGGAAGACCTGCCGAATCAAATGATATGCGACATGACCTCTTCCGACCAGCTTCGTGACCGGGGGGCACTTGACCTGACCTCAGAGGTCAGGTCAAGTGCCCCAAGGTACGGTTCAGTATTTGGTGAATAACTTCGCAAAAAACGGCCGCAGAGCCGCGATTTTGGCAGCATCGTGTTCGCCTCGCTCAGGCGCGTCGAATGATATACTTTTTTGTACCCGATGTACCCGAGATTGGTACCCGATTTTAAGGTCCCAGGTCAACCGGTGACCTCAGAGGTCACCGGTTGACCTGGGACCTTAAAATCGGGTACCAATCTCTGCGTCTCGTAACGGCACACACGCTCGTTTTTTCCGCGACGCGCTAGCTCCACCAGGGGCGAAACGGCGAGGAGGGGTCGTACCCGCCCCCCCCCCCCTCGGCCGGCGCGTATGTAGAAAACCAATAGGTCCGGCGAGGGTTAAGGTTGTATTTTGCACCGTTAACGAGTTAACGGCGAATTAACATTTTAGCGGGAAACGGCGGGGTCTTTCGATTTGGATGAAAATCAACTATACAGGCCTCCTTGATGCGCTGATTCCGAAAATGTGCTTCTTTGGGATGGTAGTTTGCACCGTTACCGAGTTAACGGCCAATTATTAACAATTAAACAGAAAACGGCGGGGTCTTTCGATTTGGCTGAAAATCGGTGTGTGGGGCCTCCTCAATGCGCTGATTCCGAAAATGTACCTCTTTGGGGTGGTACTTTGAACCGTTAACGAGTTAACGGCTAATTAGCATTTTAACGGGAAACGGCGGGGGTCTTTCGATTTGGCTGAAAATCGGTGTACAAGGCCTCCTCGATGCGTTAATTCCGAAAATCTACCTCTTTGGGGTGATATTTTGCACCGTTACCGAGTTAACGCGCAATTAACATTAACGGGAAACGGTGGGGTCTTTCAATTTGGCTGAAAATCGGTGTACGGGGCCTCCTTGATGCGATGATTCCGAGGCCCTGTATACCGATTTTCAGCCAAATCGAAAGACCCCGCCGTTTCCCGTTAAAAAGTGAATTGTCAGTCAGTTAACTCGTTACCTAACTGTGCAAAATACCATCCCAAAGAGGCACATTCTCGGAATCAGCCGATCGAGGAGGCCCTGTATACGAACTTTGAACTAAATTGAGACACCCCAAAATATGCTGCTGAAATCGATACCTACCTATCGATACCTACCTATGTATGCTGCTGAAATGTTAACAGGTCGTTAATTGGTTAACGGTGCAAAATACCACCTCAATGAGGTTCATTTTCGCAGTCAAGGCATCGAGGACGCCCTGGCCCCTGAATACCGATTTTCAGCCAAATCGAAAGACCCCGCCGTTTCCCGTTAAAATGTTAATTGGCCGTTAACTCGTTAACAGTGAGAAATACCACTCCAAAGAGTTACATTTTCGGAATCAGCGCATTGAGGAGGCCCTATGCACCGATTTTCAGCCAAATCGAAAGACCCCACCGTTTCCCGTTAAAATGTTAATTCGCCGTTAACTCGTTAACAGTGCAACATACCACCCCAAAGAGGTGCATTTTTGGAATCAGCGCATCGAGGAGGCCCTGTATACCGATTTTCAGCCAAATCGAAAGACCCCGCCGTTTCCCGTTAAAATGTTAATTGACCGTTAACTAGCCCGCGCCCCGTAGGGGGGGCGAAACGTCCCCCCCCCCTGTCCTTTTCGGTCGATATCTCCTAAACGGCTGGAGATATCGCCACCAAACTTTCAGGACTCCTCCAGGCATCAATTTTACACATTGTGGCCAAAAAATTTTCAGAGGCTATGATAGGTTGGCCACAAATGACGTCAGAATGACGTCATGTTCTGTCATTTTCGACCGAAAAAAGACCTTCGCGAGAAGACCTGTCAGGCCTACAGCTTTGAAGCTACAGAAAAATGATCAGGACATAAAAGGTGTAGAATTGACAGGGCTACAAAACTGGTATCTCGGATTTTTGAAAGTTTTGAGTTTCGACCCACAAAAATCAAAAAAGCCCGTTAAGCCCGTGGATATATTAGCCAAAAAATAAAAAAATGAGTTTAAAAAAACCGGAATATATGTGATAGTACCTACCGTCTTCTATCTACATACTAAATTTCAGATCGATACCTCGTTTTTTGGCCAAGTTATAGCGAAAAAACTGTTCAAAAATGATGACGTCAAATTTTCAAACTCAATTTTTGGCAATTCTAGACCACGTAGGGCAAAACAAAGACCACCATCGGACTCCCCGTGACAAGCTGCATCGAATCGATACCCATTTTATGCAAAAATATCAACTTTGAAATTTGACCCAATATGACCTGGCCTTGACCTGACCTTCACCAAAACGTGACCTAGGCTGGCCCCAAAGGCTGCCTGACCCACATAATCGCATTTGTCATGTAAAATGGACCATAAAACAAGGATCACACGACACTTTCATAATGTGACTCCCGGTGACCTGACCTCGCTGTGACCTGACCTGGTATCAGTGACCTCAGATAGCAAAATATATGTTTGGCGAACAATGTACCATCGATGGTTTTCAATAAATTATCAATTTACTCGATTTCACAACACATTTCTTGAAATGCCTGTGAACGGTGAAAATCTGACCTTTGACCTGACCTGTGACGTCATCGGTTTGACCTAAGTCAATGAAATTCGGTCACAAGGTAGTTCCCGGGTGGGGCTATCGAACGCCGTTTGAATTTTGAAAATCGGCCGGTAACTTTCCGAGATCTTGGGGGGGGGCCGAAACGCCCCCCCCCCCTCCCTACGGGTGGTAGGATCCGCCGGTAGCCCTACGGGGCGCGGGGGGGGGTACCTACCACCCCAGAAAGGTACATTTTCGGAGTCAGCGCATCGAGGAGGGCCTGTACCTACACCGATTTTCAGCTAAATCGAAAGACCCCGCCGTTATCCGTTAAAATGTTAATTGGCCTTTAACTTGTTAACGGTGAGAAATACCACCCCAAAGAGGCACATTTTCGGAATCAGCGCATCGAGGAGGCCCTATAAACCAATTTTGAGCCAAATCGAAACAACCTGAAATATGCTGCTGTGAGGCTGGTATTCGTTGCTGCTATATTGACAGACGTTAACACTGAGGATGTAATTGCAGTGTGTGCGCCATTTATGTAACTTTCTACTCCATTAAGTCTAGATATAAAAATTATTTGACGTTAAATTAATTTATATGAATTTATTTGCTGTTTTTATAAAAAGGAACACTTGTATAGCAAATTTTCTGTGAAAAAGGTTTTTTGTGTTACCGACTGTGACTAAACTTTGCAAAATATAACATAAATTAAAAATTTACGTCATTCATGGCAAGACACAACGTTTATTGCTGTCACTGTTTTCCTCCTTTTAGCTTTTAGTTGCCTTTTGGCTGGCTCTTTCTCCTTAGGCTCTGGGTTTCCCAGTTCCCACACACATTCTTTTGCTAGAATCGAATGAATTTTTATTATTTACTCCATTAGGTATATATATCCAATATTGATATAGGGTTGAATTAGGGAGACGACAAGATACAAAGATATGGCGTCTTCACTGAGAAGAGGAGTTGTTAATGTGGAGAAAATCTGGAAACATACTGGTCAAAAGGTGAGGAACTTAAGTCCATATCAATATTTATATTCTCAGTTTTGAGGCCAGTTTCACGAACAGAAAAATAGCCACCTGCCTGAATTTTTTCCCCAAATGCGGCTTTACATAGGAGGCGTAAATATGATGGGCACGTGAGCAGATTACGAGATCTGAGAGAATGAGAGAATGAGATAGGGCTTATCCATTCAAACTCTGTAGGCATTGAAATGGTGTTAAGCAAAAAAATATGGCAGGCGGTTTTTTCTGTTGGTTAAACTAGCCTCAGTTGGGCAAACTTCTGTAAACTTCTGTAAAAAAAAACTTATGCCTTCAGAGTAAAAAATAGAGTCATAAAAACTGATTCTGTGTGACCATATTTTGACTTAAATGCAGACCATTTCTAAATCCCCAATCATCTAAAAATTAGCCAGTGTTTTGGTAAATGCCATTTGCCAAGATAAAGCCCAAAGCAGATTTCATTGATAATTTTTCATATTTTTACATTATTTGACATCCTGAATCCAAAAATGATACTCATATGTCTCGCTAATAAAAGATAAAACATAATCAAACCAACTTAACATACCTATACCAGTGTTTCAAGAAGGAACATGCCTGATCTTGAACAGAAATGTTGGAACTATGTATATACTGAGCACAATAATATTGCTCTTATCATAACAATCTTATTTCTAAAGGCAGTGAAAGTCCATCAAGAAATTGATTCCCATAGGCGCTGGAACCGGGGGCAGTTGGGGCAGGTTGCCCCTCAACTTGGGCGTAGGGGCGATGCCCCCACAACTTTGAGACAGAATACCACACTTGTTTGCAAATGTTTTCTTTTTTTGTTGAAAAGCCAAGGGATGAAAAAGTGGCCTTAAACCAGTGAGAGATAGATTTGGGGTTACCCTTGGTTGATCTCTATTACGGTGTGCCCTAAAGTCTGAAAGTAGTTCCCGCATCCCTGTTAATTCCCCTTGAACAGATAGTCAAAATATTGATTCCACATCAGCCAGCTAATCATTTTTTATTTGCAGGTAATTTAAATAGATATGCAGCAATGGCTTGCATGAATACGGCGTTAATCTTGCTATTATTCACACTTAGTGGCATCCTGAGCACCACAAGAGCCTTGTTGCTCTTTATCTTCACTACATTTAATAATATTTTATAAGTTTTAAATGTCATGAATACGAAAACAGATGCAATGGGTACAAACTTTGTAATAAATTTAAATGCATTTTAACAATGAAAAGAAACATTTTAAAAATTGCATTCTGCCATTTTATTTACACAAACCTTCTACCTGATATGTATATGATTTGTAATACAAGAATAGCATGCAATGTGATTTTCTCAAAACAGCCTTTAATTACATGATGCAGAGTGGCTCTGTCTTTTTGCCATACACAAGGCTAAAGTGACAATCTCTTAATTTGGAGGTAGTTCCTTTTGCATGCCTACTACATTTTTCTACCTATTTTAACAAAAATTTCACCAGCATGATACTTTTTCAACTGTAACGATTAGTTGAAGTCAAACAAAAGTGTACATACCAAAATGAATCATAAGTTGATTCCATGCCCATATTTGGTCATGACTCCTCGTTTGTTTGCCCAACTCAGTTGGGCAAACTAGACCTCTGAATTCAAAATGTGGAGGCATCAATAATTTGGTTCTGGTGGGAGGATGTTAAATTAAATACTGAAGAAAAGAATGGGAAATACCAAAATCGAAACTGACTGATGAGATGTTGAGAAAAATACCTACCAACCTTTAACCAAATTCAGAGAATCTTTACACTAGCGAAGCTTCATAAACACCAAGGAAATTCCAAAAAAAATGTCAGATTTAAAGTAGGTACCAAATACCAAGCTGGCATCGGTTGGGTATCGCTACACCAAAAAGTGTTTGTTTTTGTTCTGAGCCAGTAGTGATATTGATGGCGCCTGCCGCCGCACCAGGTGCTGGCTGCCGGCTGGCTGCCGCAGGCCCAGCAGCGCCGCCACCTCAACGTCCACGAGCACGTCAGCTTCGGCCTGCTGCGCGGCGCCGGCGTGCCGGTGCCCGACTTTTACGTGTGCCACACGGCGGCCGAGGCCGGCGAGAAGACCGCCCAGCTGGCCTCCACCGACTCGGTGGTCAAGGCCCAGGTGCTCACCGGCGGCCGCGGCAAGGGCGTCTGGAAGAACGGCTTCCGCGGCGGCGTCAAGCTCGTCTTCACGTGAGTGGGTGTCGGCCGGCGGCGGCTCACGACCGCAGTGCCTGGCGGTAAAAAAAAAAACGCTTTATAGCTATGCGATTACTTTCGAAAGTAAAGATCACCTTTTCTTCGGTCAATAACTGTGTAAGTGGCAAAAGTGTCAAAAGAAAAATGGATAGTTTTATTTTGTAATATTCTTACTGATGCCGGGAATGTCAGACGCCGTAGACTGTGAGTAAAAGAACAGAGAGAGGAAGCAAGCCATAAATGATAACGAATTTAAAACTTTTGCACTATGTGATATAGGTATCTATCGGCGAGTTTGTTTCCCACCGTATGGTGTAATACGACAGTAAAAAAGGAATGATTCGATTTCCTTAGGCGCCGTTTTCGAAAGGAACTTTTCATGTTATAGTTTTAGGGAGTATTTCCCAGCAATACCTTCTTACGAAAGCTGGAAATTAAAACAACGACGAGTTTTATAAATTCAAAATTCATAATAAAGAAACGGATACCCATGTCATGCAGCTATGAATAATCAACTTCTATGCTAGATTTCGTCAAGATATTTCACAACGTACCCCGAATCGAAGGACTGACTCGGTGGCTTTTCTCGTCACGGGATTTCGGTTACGGCGTAGTGAGTCTCCCTGCGACACTCGCCTCAGCTGTCTTCTGGATTTATTGACTGGGGTTAATTAACGTCACTCCTCCGCTCCCGCTGGTGAGAGGCGAAACACCCCTGAATTTCTGCGAACCAGGGGCAATTGCATGGTGATCCGATGTGGTCGTCAATTCCATGAATATAACTGAATGTGTTTGTGTGAGCATAAGTGACTGTCTCAGCAGTCACTGCAGCCCGGTATAGTACCCTGGGGGTGTGGCCGCACCGCGCTGACCCGCCGCTGACCTGTGGGCGCCGCGCTGACCCGCCGCTGACCTGTCGGCGCCGCAGGCCTGAAGAGGCCGAGGAGGCCGCCTCCAAGATGATCGGACACAAGCTGGTCACCAAGCAGACGGGTGACAGGGGACAGATCTGCAACAAGGTCCTCGTCTGCGAGCGCAAATTCCCCCGCAAAGAGTTCTACGTGGCCGTGATGCTGGAGCGGGCGTTCGCCGTAAGTGACGGCGCCGGGCCGGCGGCAGTCCGCGCCCGGCGCCACGGTACGCGCGATGCAGCATGTTTACCAACTCATATTCTTGTCATTATGTCCGCTGTATGGTGTTGCATTGAATTGCCCGCTGGGTGTGCCGGCTCACGGTGTGCCGGCCGGCTGGTGTGCGGCGGTGGTGAGACTGACGCCGCCCGCACCCTCTCCGACACCAGGGCCCGGTCATCATCGCCTCCAACCAGGGCGGCGTCAACATCGAGGAGGTGGCCGCCGTCGACCCCGGCGCCATCCACAAGGAGCCCGTCGACATCTTTGAAGGCGAGTAGGCCGCTCTGGCGGAGCGCCGCCAGCCAGCCGAGAGTGGCGGGCCGGCCTCTTATGGCGGCGGCCTGAGCGCGGCCTTCTAGCGCCTACTCGGCCGTTTGTCACCCCGGCTGGTCAGATTAGGGCGCTTGTTTGTCATACAGCACGGGATGTGCGCGCCGGTTAATGGGTGGCGATAATAACTGTAGGTAATGCTCTCTACACCACACTATGTGAATGGGGCTAAAATGACTTTTTATCCCAGCCTCCGAGGCTTTCCCGTTGCCGCCCTCCCCGCGGCAGCGAGCCGGGCCGTCCCGCCCTGGCCGCCCTACCATTGGTCCGTCCCTGTCACCGTCCGCCCTACCATTGGTCCGTCCCTGTCACCGTCCGCCCTACCATTGGTCCGTCCCTGTCACCGACCGCCCTACCATTGGTCCGTCCCTGTCACCGACCGCCCTACCATTGGTCCGTCCCTGTCACCGACCGCCCTACCATTGGTCCGTCCCTGTCACCGGCCGCCCTACCATTGGTCTGTCCATCCCTGGCCGCCCTACCATTGGTCCGTCCCTGTCACCGGCCGCCCTACCATTGGTCCGTCCCTGTCACCGACCGCCCTACCATTGGTCCGTCCCTGTCACCGTCCGCCCTACCATTGGTCCGTCCCTGTCACCGGCCGCCCTACCATTGGTCCGTCCCTGTCACCGGCCGCCCTACCATTGGTCCGTCCCTGTCACCGGCCGCCCTACCATTGGTCCGTCCCTGTCACCGGCCGCCCTACCATTGGTCCGTCCCTGTCACCGGCCGCCCTACCATTGGTCCGTCCCTGTCACCGGCCGCCCTACCATTGGTCCGTCCCTGTCACCGGCCGCCCTACCATTGGTCCGTCGCTGTCACCGGCCGCCCTACAATTGGTCCGTCCCTGTCACCGGCCGCCCTGTTATTGGTTCAGTGCTGTAATACCGCCGCGCCCCGGCCCCCGCCCAGGTTTGACGGACGAGAAGGCGGCGCGGATTGTGGACGCCATCGGCCTCTCCAGCCGCAAGGCCGAGACGGTCGACATCCTCAAACGCATCTTCAACCTCTTCATCAGCACCGACGCCAGCATGATCGAGATCAACCCGCTGGCCGAGGACACGTTCGGCTCCAGTAGGTTGCCCGGCGCTGCGGCGGAGGGGGGGGGATCAGTGGGTGGACCGGCGCTGCGGCGGCGGAGGGGGGGGAGGGGATCAGTGGGTGGACCGGCCGTGCGGCGGAGGGGGGGGGGATCAGTGGGTGGGCCGGCCGTGCGGCGGAGGGGGGGGGATCAGTGGGTGGGCCGGCGCTGCAGCGGCGGAGGGGGGGGATCAGTGGGTGGACCGGCGCTGCGGCGGCGGAGGGGGGGGGGATCAGTGGGTGGACCGGCCCTGCGGCGGAGGGGGGGGGATCAGTAGGTGTCCCGGCGCTGCGGCGGAGGGGGGGGGGATCAGTGGGTGGGCCGGCCCTGCGGCGGAGGGGGGGGGGATCAGTGGGTGGCGGGGGCAGTGGCTGGCGGGGGGGGGGGGTGATCCCTCCCTCGGCAGGTGGACCGGCGCTGCGGCGGGATGGGGCGGGGGGGGGGGGCTTATAGGTAGGTGGCGGGGGGAGGTTGGGGCAATGGTGGCGGCAGTGCTCGCTTGGTTTTTGTGTTTACAATAGTACGCTATTAATGTGCTGTTTTATTTTTGGAATAGGGAGGTCGGCTCATGCCTCATGTTCTTATTGTTACATTTCCGGTCCATTTTTTTCATCAGCAAACATATTACCTGGTACATAACTAAGAAATGTGTTTTCCGCGCTTACATCGTCGAGTACCTATTTCACGACCATGTTTTGTCGGTCATGTTGTCAATGACATTCGTTGATCATTCGATCCGCTTCCAATATTGTCTGCGGCATTGTTTTTCTGGTGTGTGTGTGTGTGTGTGTGCTCTGCTTAGCTGTGTATCTATTGGTGGTGCCAATAATGCAGCTTTTAGCTCTTCATGAAACTCGTGCTGCTGAAGGCAGAAACGCAGATACATTAAAATGCGTGATGTACATACACTACGATTTCATAAATCTCAACGCACAATTATTATTTCCTTGGCATGGACTTTGTAGTGATTACATTGTACATATGATTACATTTGTAGTGGTAGTGATTACATTGTCCCTCTCATAATGAGGTAAACATTGAGTTGAATGAAGTTTTTCTCTTATGTTTAAGGTTGAGTAAGAAAGCTGAATATGTCTTTTCGCCTGAGAGCTCAAATTCAATGCAAATAGTTCATTACAGTTTCTCGCTTTTCGAAGCTGTTGGGAAAGTTAGGCATGCCGATATCTTTCCTGCTGACGCAACAGGAGCGTTTTGTTCTAGCCGGAAGCGTCAGATCTTACTCTTAGCCGCACCCCTCAGGCCTTTGGTGCCTTATTCACTGTTTACTATGTGCCATTTACACTTACATGTATTGTAAAATGCGATCAACTAACAGGAACGTTGAATCCATTGTATTACTTAACCCGCGCCGTGCTGGGGGCGATTTTACGCCTCCCCCCCCTTACCTTTTTGGCGAATATCTCGCAGCGCCGCCGTTTTTTTTTTTTTGCACACCTGTTCATACATCTTTTCTCACTTGTTGCGAAAATTTTAGACCCGGGTCTTTCCAGGGTCTTTGACGTGACCTGGTCAGGTCACCAGGTCACGTCAAGTGACCTTACCTCAAAAAGTTCCAGTGCTCACTAGGTGTAGCTATTAACTACACCGAATGACCGATCGTTCTGAAACTTTCAGCGATTGATAAAAGTAACGGTATGTGTGAAATGTATATCTCGCAATTTTGGTACATGTCACCTAAGGTCCGGTCGATTTTGCGACCTCTCCATTGTAAGTCAATGGGAGAAAATGAAATGCCTATCATTTGGACAATCGTCGATCTAAACGCTTTCAAGCATCGGTTTATTGGTAAACACGACACATTGAATCGGAAAATTGCACCCGTGACCCCTCTTTGTGGATCTGAGGTCATCTCAGATCGTGTAATGTCCCAGCAGTTTTTTGACAATGCCTACCTTTTGATAGAAACATGCTAGAGCGCTGAAAACACGTCAGATGTGTTAAGCTCGATGATAAGGATCGACTGATCTGCAACATAACCTTTTCAGGTCAGGTCATGATTTTGACCTGAGTTCAAATTTTCAAAATTACCTTTCAAGGTCAAAGTATAGTTCATTCGACGCTTCTCGACTAGAGAATCACGATGGAAGCAAAAGTTATGTCGTGGCTTTCTTGAGTCAAAAGCTGTTACAAAAAATTGTTTTCGTGAAAACGGCTTTTTTAGCTTTGGCCTATGGAGGCTAACTGTTGACCTGAGGTCAAATCAAAGGGCACGCTCCAGAAAGAGCGTTAAAAGGGCTATCGAATGTGCTTTTCCTCGGCGCTATAGCTCTATTAGTTCCCGAGTTATGCGCCGGTTTTTCGAAAATTGTTGAAAAAGGCAACATTTGACCCTTGATGACCTTTGGTGACGTGACATTTGACCTGACGTAAAAAAATGAGTGAAGTATTTTCTTCATTTTTTAAAACTCTCCTTCGAATCGTCGCAAATGAAAGTTAGATGCTACCATCTCGGGGAGCGGAATCAGCCAATCTGCCTGCTTCGGGCCGGGATGACGCAGCATGCGGGACGTGCTTATCGTGCCGGTGCTGGCTGCAGAAGCATATGACTGTGGCATTTGCGACATGCCTAATGTGGCATCTGTGGTGACCATATGACTATCATCTTAAGACGATAAAACACGGGCCGGCTAGCGTTATGCCATAATATCGGCTGCTTTGTCCGGCTGGGCGCCGCTCACGTATGGGCTGCGGTGTTCAGCGCGCGCTGTGGTACACTAAGACGATAAAACACGGGCCGGCTAGCGTTATGCCATAATATCGGCTGCTTTGTCCGGCTGGGTGCCGCTCACGTATGGGCTGCGGTGTTCAGCGCGCGCTGTGGTACACTTACAGACTCGGACACTAACTCGGTGGTATGGCGGGGTGGCGGGCTGCCGACACTAACTCGGTGGTGTGGCGGGGTGGCATCTGCCGACACTAACTCTCTGGTATGGCGGGATGGTGGGCTGCCGACACTAACTCGGTGGTATGGCGGGGTGGCGTCTGCCGACACTAACTCGGTGGTGGGGGGGGGGGGGGGTGGCGTCTGCCGACACTGACTCGGTGGTATGGCGGGGTGGCGGGCTGCTGACACTAACTCGGTGGTATGGCGGGATGGCGGGCTGCTGACACTAACTCTCTGGTATGGCGGGATGGTGGGCTGCCGACACTAACTCGGTGGTATGGCGGGGTGGGACTATGTCGACACTAACTCTGTAGTCTCTGGTATGGCGGGGTGGCGGGCTGCTGACACTGACTAGGTGTTATGGCGGGGTGGCGTCTGCCGACACTAACTCGGTGGTATGGCGGGATGGGACTTTGTCGACACTAACTCTGTAGTCTCTGGTATGGCGGGGTAGGACTCTGTCGACACTAACTCTGATATGGCGGGGTGGGACTCTGTCGACACTAATTCTCTGGTATGGCGGGCTGGGACTCTGTCGACACTAACTCTCTGGTATGGCGGGCTGGGACTCTGTCGACACTAACTCTGTAGTCTCTGGTATGGCGGGGTGGGACTATGTCGACACTAACTCTGATATGGCGGGGTGGGACTCTGTCGACACTAATTCTCTGGTATGGCGGGCTGGGACTCTGTCGACACTAACTCTCTGGTATGGCGGGCTGGGACTCTGTCGACACTAACTCTGTAGTCTCTGTGATGGCGGGGTGGGACTATGTCGACACTAACTCTCTGGTATGGCGGGGTGGGCGGCCGGCGCGCTCTGTTGCCGCCGCTGTTGCCACTCTGTTACCGCCGCTTGGTGCCCTGACCGGACCTCCGCTCTCCGCCGTTTTCAGAGCCCGGCGATCCAGGGAAACGTGAGTGGACTTTCTTTCCTATCGCCATTTTGTTAGCTGCACTTGGTGTTTGGCCCGGCTGTGTCGTTTGTGTGCGCTTATTTTCTACTATGTACCTACTGTTATGCATGTGCTGCTCACATCTCAAACGATTTGTCGAGTTGTGCCACACGCACGCAAGGGTGAGGTGGATTAACCTTAGGGCCCCAAGGGATTTCCTGAACACGTGTACCCGGACTTTGATAAAACTGTTCCGAGATGCGTTTCGTATAATGTACGTGTATGTATGCGCTAAGAAATGCCACTATATCGAGAGAGGTAGAGCCCAAGACCAGATCATGCTATTTATGCTGATATTGATGGACTATCTGGAGTAAGTTAACTGGAGAGAGGGAGGGGTCAGGCGACTTGGCCCGCTGCTATCCCGAGTGAGAACCGGGAGCATGAGAGGAGCGAGGCGTTACACTTTCTCAGAAGGCTAAGGACTACTGTAACGGAAATGTTTTGAATCAGTTGCCTATGCACATAATTTAGAACAAGCCTCTCTCAATTTACACCTCCGTCGCATACGTTCAAGCCTTTGAGGATGTCTGAACGACTTTGTATTAAGCCCTCACCCGTATAGGGGCTGGGGGGGGGGGGGGTCGAACGGACCCCCCTCGGTTTTTCGCAAATAACTCGCGTAAAAAGCGGCGGATCGCGACGAAACCTTCAGTATTCTCGGGTTAATCAATTGTACGCCTACCCGAAAATAGCATGGCCCTGACCGAAATGACCTTTGATCTGTGACCTATTTCTCTAGACCATGTTTGGCCGGAATCGTGATTCGGCGTATGTCGGTTCGCATTAGCCGCACGTTTGCAGTCTTTTTGTGGTTTTTAAGCGTTCATACATGTGATATGATGTTGGCCCCATGCATTATGGTGGGTGTGAAGGTTACCTCAAGGTCAGGTCAGGTCATTGACCTTTAATGGCCTCTGTTCACTTTTTCGAGGCTTATATGTTTCTAGGTTAGTATTTTAGCTGACTTCGAAATTCAGCAACCATTTGAACATTTACAAAGTAGTTTTAGGGCCTTCGTAACATGATAAGAACCTGTCATAGGCGGTTGACACCTACTACGAATACCCGGCAGTACCCCTACTGGTTGACCTGACCTGACCTGACCTGAACTGGCCTAAATGCATGCAGACATTAGGTATCTGTGTTCAAATCTAACATGATACTCGTGAGCAGCATCCCGATACCCCATAGGAGCCACACTTCACGACGTTCTAATAGGTCTCGATTTTCCCGACTTTTGGGTCATTGACCTGACCTGGAAGGTCACCGAGGTGACTATCACAGGACCTAGGACCAGTGACCTAGGACCAGTGACCTAGGACCTCAAAATTGGGTATCATCGGCTTCCTCTCGTCACGGGCAACACACTCGTTTTTTACGAAGCTCTAGCTCGATCAGGGGCGAAACGGCTAAGGGGTCCAACGGACCCCCCCCCCCCCTTATGTTACCGCGGCGAAATGTTACCTTCAATGACCTCTGGTGACCTGATCTTTGACCCGACCAAAGACGTGACCGAAATATCTTCGTCACTATTTTGGCGCTCTTCGAACGCCGCCTTCCGCGTATCGCTACGTGGCCCAGGAGCCGAGTTAGAAAGAAGGGTTCAAACACCCCCCCCCCCCAACAGGGCGTGAAAACCCCGGACCCCCGAGGGGCGCGTGTTATACCCAGTAGCGGCGGAACACCTTTAATTAAGGGGGGGGGGCACTGCCGACTTTTGGTCCCATTCTTTCCGTGCAACGCCGCCATGCAACGGGGAGGGGGGCACGGTGCCCCGGTGCCCCCCCCCTCCCCCGTTCCCGTTCCGCCGCCTATGGTTATCCCCAAATAGGTGCTGCTAACCAATCTTTCGCTGAAACAGCTATTGAATGTCAGGAATGGCTTTAATAGGACGCAATTAAATGGCGTCATTTACTCAAACCCCAGCAGTGCCTGTGTACACTGCCTTGACGATTTGCAGCCGGACTTCATTTATTGACTGGCCTGCTCTTTTGCAGTTCTTTCCTTGCCTGCATTTACATGCCTGTTTCAGCCTGTTTCAGTTCATTTCATTTTTGCAGGATTGAGTTGCAGGGCGGTTCTCCCATAAAGGCAAGGTAGGCAGTGGCTAGGTCCATCGTCTCCCATGCATCTCTACACTCCTTTGATGCTGGCATTCGTTTATACGATTTATGCACCTAAGAAAGCGTTTAACTGGAAGCAAATTTTCCCAACTTTTCTAAAAACGTCACACTACGGCTGTACTATGTTAAAAAATTCGACAAAGACCTTTTTAATTGTGCCTACCTTGTCCCACTAGATAACCTACTAGTGCCCATGTTGAGTCTATTGAGCCTTTTGGTAGAAAAGATCTAAAAGGTAGGCATAGGCGGCGGAACGGGGAGGGCACCGGGGCGCTGTGCCCCCCCCCCCCCCACACTTTGATTTTGGCATTTTAACATTAGCCCTATGAGCGTTGCATAGAAAGAATGGGACCAAAAGTCGGCAGTGCCCCCCCCCCCCCTTAATTGAAGGTGTTTCGCCGCTACTGAAGATAGGCACATCGACTAGATGGCAGATGCTACCTTCTTACTCTGAAACTCAATTTTTGATTATGATCATTTGTCATCAAATAAAACATACTGCTAATTTAATTTCTTATTTATGCTTTAGATTCGCTTGAAGCTCCAAGATTGTTGAGTTATTCTTTCGTCTAATATAATTTTTAGATATAAACTACATTCCTACTGGGGCAGATAATCTGGTGACATATTCTCCTCTGGCGATTAATCCCCTCTGGTGGCAGATAGGTATAGGAATGCTATAGTAAGCGAATTGCTTTTATAGATGACGCCGCTGAACGGTTGGAAGTTGAGGATCTTTACCGTAAAAACTCTGTCGCAGTTAATTTTTTGGCGCTTCGTGATTCTCGCAAAATAGGTATCTCTCTAGTTGACCTATTATCTAGCATGCCCGTTTGCACTTTTTCATCATGATTTTTACTATTCTTTGCTTTACCTTATCGAGTGCCTAGGTACCTACTTTCAAAGGGTCGCCGCCCCTGCTGAGTTGTGACGATCGCAGGTACTTAAGACCTGTTTTGGTTTTTGTCACATTTGGTTATGGTCCTGCTTTGGTTTTTGTCCCGATTTGTTTGTAGTCCTGCTAGCCGCCGTGTAGTTGACGTCTAGAAATGAACCTACCCGTACGGCGCGGCTGGCAGGTGTCCTAGCTGCCCCTGCGGTCTGTCTGCGTACTCCGGCCGTCCGCGGCAGTGCAGTGCCGCCCGGTCGGTGGCGTCCTGTCATTGAACTGTATTGTATGACGCCTGTATGACGGACGTGTAGGCTGTTTGACGAGGCTGTGCAGATGCGGCTTCTACCGCCGTCTGCCCCGGTAGTACCCTCTGTTGGGTATCGGCCTACCAGCAAACCCGGCAAATACCCTCCTGGTGGGTATCGGCCTACCAGCAAACCCGGCAACTACCCTCTGGTGGGTATCGGTCTACCAGCAAACCCGGCAACTACTTACCCTCCTGGTGGGTATCGGTCTGCCGGCAAACCCGGCAACTACTTACCCTCCTGGTGGGTATCGGTCTACCAGCAAACCCCCAGCACTGACTCTCCCGGCATCCCCCGGTAGTACAGTTCATACATCCTCCGGTGGTACAATAAATGCATACTCGGGTAGGTGCCTTCCCGGCGTACCCCGTTGTTAGCTAGTACCTCGTTGTAGGTACCCGCGTAGTCCTAGCATCCCCAGGTATTCCCTCTGAGCGCCCGCCGTGTTTCAGTGTTCTGTCTGGACGCCAAGATGCGTTTCGACGACAACGCCGAGTTCCGTCAGCCGGAGATTTTCGCCGAGCGCGACTGGTCCCAGGAGGACCCGCGCGAGGTGGAGGCGGCCCAGTACAACCTCAACTACATCGCCCTGGAGGGTGGGTGGTCGGTACCGGGCACTGGGCTGGCGGTACAGGGCGGTCGGTGGGCCGGGAGGTGGTACACTGTACACTGTACAGGGTCCCTGGAGGTGGCGACGTGGGTTACAGGACAATTTGCCGAACTGCGTTTTGCCGAATGCTTATTCGCCGAATGTCAATATGTTGAATGCATTTTGCCGACGTGTCTTTTTGCCGACGTGTCAAAAAGAGGAAGTGCTAAAAGTCGAAATGCAATTTGCCGACATGCCATTTTGCCGACGTGCAATAAGTCGAAAATGTCAATTTGCCGAAATGCTAATTTGCCGAAATGTCAATTAGTCGAAATGTCAATTCGCCGAAATACTAATAAGTCGAAATGTAAATTTGCCGAAATGTCAATTAGTTGAAATGTCAAATTACCGAAAAGTCAATTAGTCGAAATGTCAATTTGCCGGAATGCCAATTAGCCAAAATTAACCTAACCTAACCTAACCTGTAAGCATTAACTTTAGGACCGACTCACTTTTAAAGGTAAATTTTACACATTCTTCCATTTTTTGAGCTCCTCAATCCTGATATGATATATAGGTACCTACTTAGGTACATGCCACCTACCTACCTACCTACCTACAGGGTGGAAAGTAATTACGCGAACATACTTGTTCGTCTTATAGCAATGGAAAAAGCGGCGGGTGACATGAAAATTTCATCCTTTCATATATTCCTATTTATGTGCGATACACTGACAAAGGCGTTCAGGCATAATTGACATGAGCATGTCAAGCACTGTTGGCCAAAGCTTAGTCCACGCCTCCTGGAGCTGTCTGGTGAGGCAATCGATGTTGGTGGCTACTAGCAGCTCTTAGACGCTCTCCTGAAGAGTCGCCTGGATATTTTTGATCAAATTGAGGTCTGGGCTATTCCCAGATTGACCATTAGGTATATGCCCAGAAGAAGAACAGGTTCTCAAAGCACCAGTCTTGCGTCTTTTTGGCCGTGAGAGGAAGGACTTTATCAATCATGAAGAAGAGTTTCTTTGCGTCGGGCACAAAAGTGCGCTCAATCATTTTGCCCCTTTTGGTGCATTGGTGGATTAGATAAAGAGACTCGTCTGGAAGGATGTTCCACTAGTTGTATACTTTATTTTTGGTTGCCTTTTTGGTCACTACATGCAATTCTGACACCATCCGGGCGCTCATAACACGCTGATGTGTGTTCCTTTGCCGGATGTTTGAAGGTTGGGACGGGCGGGACGTCAGACGCATCAGCAGCCCCCAACGCGATGTTCTGCAGGTTTGACGGATGAAATAGCTTCGAAGATGTCTCACCCAACCACAAAGCCAGCTGCCTGTCCTCTGTTCAGGTTTGCAAGTCTTTAGAAAACTGAAATTGACAATCCTGCTGTTAATTCATGAATTTTGGCCATCTCGATTGTTTGTACGGCTTGATTTTCGAATTTTCACGGATTTATGTATGAATCGTGATATCTTAGATCGGGGACCCGGCCATAGTAAACCATTTCGCCTGTTTTCGGATCGACTGTTGTCGTTTGGTCGCGGAAATGGTGACCACCCATTCGGCGCCTGAATTCGCCGAGGTTTTACTGCCGCCAACGGCTTTGCTTTTTAAGTCCTCTTAAGTTTTATTATGCTTCAACCAAACGTGTAATTGAGTAATGCTGGTGCCGAGACCGTTCCGAGTCCCTTCCGCACCAATCCAGCCAAAATAATCACAAACGCTTTCCCTGGCAACACCAAATTGCGATCTTTGCACATTGTGGTCTTGTGCAGCGTATGGCGTCTGCACCATTCGAAGTCGAGACGTGTTGTAGACCTTCCAAGTCATTTTTCAAAGTAAGGTCACTTTTGGTATATGAGGCGACAACAAACACGACCAATCATGTTCCATGACAGCCCGCACTCATACAAAATCTCCACTGACGGGCGAAATTGTAAGAAAATACATGTTCGCGTAATTACTTTCCACCCTGTACTTAGGTACATGCCACCAAAATATAAGAACAACATAACCAAACCTTACCTAACCTGACCTACTGATTTTGGCCTACCCGTGGATAAGGAAGAAGTTACTCACATGAATAGATTGCAGACAATGATAAGTCAATTATTTTTAGGTTAAGTGGTTGTGCATCAATGAAGCCAGATACACAACCACTTAACCTAAAAATATTTGACTTACCATTGCCTGTAATCTCTCCTAAGGCATTGCCTTCGGCACTGCAGAGCTTCGCCACGAGTAATTTGATGTTAATTTTCATACTGTATTGGTGCTTTCAAACTTGTTTGTGCCATGAATAGGTAATTAGTAGTTATGAAATCAGGAGGTCAAAGGATGTCATGTGATTTCCTTTTTACTTCGGGATTGCACCAAAAAGTAATTGGTGATCGGTCATAAAGTAAATAAATACCACCTAACCAGCCTAACCTTACCTAGGTTTGCAGATTGACATTTCTTCAACTTATCACCATTTCGGTAAATTGACATTTTGGTAAATTTACATTTCGACTAATCGACATTTCGGCAAACTGCCAATTCGACAGATTGACATTTCAGCGTATTTACATTTCGGCAAAGTGACATTTCGGCAAATCGACATTTCGACAAATTGGCATTTCGGCAAATTTACATTTCGACTAATTGACATTTCGACTAATCGACGTTTCGGCAAATCGCATTTCGGCAAATTTACATTTCGACTAATAAGCATTTCGGCAAATAGGCATGTCGGCAAATGGCATTTCGACTTTCAGCATTTTGACTTTTTGACACGTCGGCAAAAAGCACATCGGCAAAATGACATTCGGCAAATCGCCTTTCGGCAATTTGTCCGGACACCGGCGACGTGTTGGTTGTGCGCTGTGCAGTGTGCAGGCGCCCCCGAGGGTCAGTCCGAGGGCTGGCAGATGTCAGATGGCGCGCCGAGACGCGTGCGGCGGGAGACGGGCCCCGCGCCGCAACTTCAGCGCCGCCTGGCGATCATCGCAACTCGCAGTGCCTACCAGGCAATCTATTACCGAATATGCTGACCCAATTGGCCGGCTGTCGGTTCTCTGTGAGAGGTGTGTTACCGGTCGGTTCTCTGTGAGAGGTGTGTGACCGGTCGGTTGTCGGTTCTCTGTGATGGGTGTGTGACCGGTCGGTTGTCGGTTCTCTGTGAGAGGCGTGTTATTGGTCGGTTTTCTGTGAGAGGTGTGTGACCGGTCGGTTCTCTGTGATGGGTGTGTTATTGGTCGGCTATCTGTGAGGGGTGTGTTATTGGTCGGTTCTCTGTGATAGGTGTGTTATTGGTCGGTTTTCTGTGATGGGTGTGTGACCGGTCGGTTCTCTGTGATGGGTGTGCTATTGGTCGGTTCTCTGTGAGAGGTGTAGGTATTATTGGTCGGTTCTCTGTGATGGGTGTGTGACCGGTCGGTTCTCTGTGAGAAGTGTGTGACCGGTCGGTTCTCTGTGAAGGGTGTGTTATTGGTCGGTTCTCTGTGAGAGGTGTATTATTGGTCGGTTCTCTGTGAGAGGTGTGTTATTGGTAGGCTGTCGGTTCTCTGTGATGGATGTGTTATTGGTCGGTTCTCTGTGAGAGGTGTGTTATTGGTCGGTTCTCCGTGATGGGTGTGTGACCGGTCGGGTGTCGGTTCTCTGTGAGGAGTGTGTGACCGGTCGGTTGTCGGTTCTCTGTGAAGGGTGTGTTATTGGTCGGTTCTCTGTGATAGATGTGTTATTGGTCGGTTCTCTGTGAGAGACGTGTTATTGGTCGGTTCTCCGTGATGGGTGTGTGACCGGTCGGTTCTCTGTGATAGATGTGTTATTGGTCGTTTCTCTGTGAGAGGTGTGTGACCGGTCGGTTCTCTGTGAGAGATGTGTTATTGGTCGGTTCTCTGTGAGAGATGTGTTATTGGTCGGTTCTCTGTGATGGGTGTGTGACCGGTCGGTTCTCTGTGAGAGGTGTGTGACCGGTCGGTTGTCGGTTCTCTGTGAGAGGCGTGTGACCGGTCGATTCTCTGTGAGAGGTGTGTGACCGGTCGGTTGTCTGTGAGAGGTGTGTGACCGGTCGGTTCTCTGTGAGAGGTGTGTGACCGGTCGGTTCTCTGTGAGAGGTGTGTGACCGGTCGGCGCGGCGTCCGGCAGGTAACATCGGCTGCCTGGTGAACGGCGCCGGCCTGGCCATGGCCACCATGGACATTATCAAGCTGAACGGCGGCGACCCGGCCAACTTCCTGGACGTCGGCGGCGGCGCCACCGCCGAGCAAGTCAAGGAGGCCTTCAAGATCATCACCGACGACCCGCAGGTCTGTGTCCGTGTTTGTGTCGGGGAGGGGGGGGGTATGAATTGCTCTGCTCACAGGTGGCTGACCGGTGGCTGACCAGTTGTTGAGCGGCAACTGACCAGTGAGAAGTGAATGACTGGTGACCAATGGCTGATCATTGACTGACGAGTGGTTGATTGGTGACTCGGTGGTTGATTGGTGACCACTAGCTGATCAGTGGCCCACCAGTGACTGAACACTGGGTGACTGGTGACCGGTAACTGACCAGTGACTGGTGGCCAGTGACTGACCAGTGGCCGACCAGTGAGTAATGACTGACCAGTGACCAGTGGCCGGTGACTAATGGCTGACGAGTGGCCGACCAGTGACTAATGGCTGACCAGTGACTTGTGACCGGTGACTAATGGCTGACCAGTGACCAGTGACTAATGGCTGACCAGTGACCGGTGGCTAATGGCTGACCAGTGACCAGTGACTAATGGCTGACCAGTGGCTGGTGACCACTGACCAGTGACCGGTGGCTCCGTCCTCCCCCAGGTGCACGCCATCCTGGTGAACATTTTCGGCGGCATCATGCGGTGTGACGTGATCGCCGAGGGCGTGATAGCCGCCGCCCAGGAGCTGAACCTGAAGGTGCCGATCGTCTGCCGACTGCAGGTGGGCAGCCACACACACACCTGCCACACACACACACCACACACAGACACACACCACACACAGACTACCTGCCGAGTTAATGCACTCTTCCAACTGATATACCGGCAATAATGATCAGCTGTTGAAGGCTGACCAGCGCGTTATTTCGAGTCTTTTTATCCCCTGGTTTCGAAATAATTGATTAGACCAAGTTTGCCCCCTCCGCACCCGCCATGACAGATTTTTCAAAGACTCCTAACGGGATGTGATCAACTCGGGAAACGGAGTTGATGAAAGATCTTACGATGATCTTAAATCCCAGATTCCGTATCAGTTTGTCTGAAATGTACCACGTAACGACTTGTGTAACGATTCACGAACGAACCTTTCCATCTACCACAAGCCTCATTATGCAGGATAAGAAAAAATGAAATAAATGTTAGCCCATTTTGCCCAAGATTTTGGCATCAACATTCAAACTGTTAGCGGCATTCGTTAGCGAGATGATCAACGAACTACACAAGATGGACAAGACATTCAAAATGTCGGCTGCTGGTTGGTTTATACTTGTTGGTAGCGGTGCAGCAGAAATCCAACTGTGGTTCGGGGTAATTTATTGGCATTCTTATAGCAGGCGTCTCACATGCTGCCACCCTTTTATGAAAAGTCTCTAGACTCTTCATTTCTTGAGATATATACATGAATTTCTCTTTAAGTTGTAGGTTTGTAGGTCGTAGGTTTGTAGGTTGTAGGTTTGTAGGTTGTAGGTTTTTGTAGGTTTGTAGGTTGTAGGTAAGGTTAGGTGATAGGTCAGGTTAGGTTATGTTAAGAGATCTTAATAGCGAAATTTGAGGAAATATCTCAAGAGCAGGAGAGTCTAGCAACTTTTCATGAATGGTGGCAGCATGTGAGACGCCTGCTATAATAATACCAATTTATTTTTAATATTATACCGTTGTTACCGTAGTGAGGAAATCCATGAAAAATGATATGTACCAAATAAAAACGGTGTCTGAAATAAAGGCGTCAAAAACAGCCGTTGCAGTTCACGTCTTCATTACATCAGCCCCACTGTTGCCGCCCAATGTTAGCAACATGCATTCATTTTCATGTTGTTTATTTTCTTACAACACAGTCGAGGGATCGGCCGGGTCAGTTTGGCGGGCAGCCGTCTGCCTGGCTCCCGGCCGCGGCCGCGGGAGGCTGGTGTGTGTGGATAGTGGGCTGGCGGCCCCGTGCCCTCTGCGGTGTGCACGGCGAGCCCGCCCCTCAGCCCTCTGACGCAGCCCCTGTGTTTCGGCGCGCAGGGCACAAACGTGGAGGATGCCAAGGCGCTGATCGCCGCGTCCGGCCTGCGCATCATTGCCGTGGACAACCTGGACGAGGCGGCGCGGATGGCCGTCAAGCTGTCGTCCATCGTCACCCTGGCCAAGTCGGCAAAGCTGGACGTCAAGTTCGAGATCCCCTACTGAGGGGCTGCGTGCGGCCGCCGCGCGCTGTTGTTGGTGCTGTAAGTTATGCTGTGTGAGCCGTGTCGTGCGCCGCCGGCCGCGGCCGGTCTGTGCCGGGCCCGCCGCGCGCCCAGGCCGGCCCCAGTCGGCTGCCGTTACCCCGTGTTGAGAGTGAGGTCGAACAATGGATCCGTGCTGCCAGACGAGCGGGCGTTTGGTGGGCCGGGCCGGGAGCGTCGGTCCCAGCCGGACCGACTGGGGCGCCGCTGCAGTCACCGACAGAACTCGCGACACCGCCACACCAGCCCGGCGTGTTCCCAACACTAACCGCTGAGGGAATCGGAGCAACAATTTGACGCTGACCTGACACCCAAAGATGTGGAAAACAATCGTTAGAAAAAAAAAACAATTATGTAGGCATTGCATATATTTTCGTAGTGTTGGAATACAAGTATCGCCCTTTGTTTCGCACATTTCAGACCACTATCCATTCGTATACAAAAGCTAATCATCAAAGTAAAATTTTAGAGGTCAAATTACATGTCCATAAACTAAAAAGTCGAGCATAACATCGAAGTCCTTATGCTGAAGCGAAGCGCGCGGTCTGTTTCAGTGCCTATGTGGGTGGGCATGGCAAATACTATCATCGCATTTCCTATTACGAGAAACTAGAACCGGTGAAAACGGAAAGCGTTCAAAGAAGAGAGGTAAAAAAAACTGGAGATGCGATACTCGAGTATCACAGAATAAATGTAAAAATGTGTCAGCATTCAGTCGGCAGGTCGGCTGGATATTGGGTCCGTTGATGCCGCCGCGGCACACACGCACACACCTGCAGGAAAAGCTGAGCCCGGTATCAGCCTGGGGACCGTTCATATAGGTAGTTCCGGCGGTTCCGGCTGCTGGGTGACGGGGGGGGGAGAGGGGTGTGCCCACGGCGTGCAGCCAGCGGTCTCCCTATCGCCAACAGTGGCTGTGGTCTACTGACGATAGTGATACAGCGGGCCGCTGGACGCTGCCGGTAGCGGCCGGCCGCAACATATCGCAGTTCGCATGGCCACTGGCCAGCACACTCCGTACACAGCAGCAGCTCGGGATATCTGCAGGCACAACATGGCTGTGGTACCTACGCAGGCCGGCTGTGGCGTCTCAACGCCATTCAGATACCACCGTGGTCAGCTTATTACTCAGGCCTGCGGAGCTAAGCCGTTGTTGGAGTTAAGGCTGCGTGGCTCAGAGTCATACCCTGTACACCAGTTTTCTTGGCAATACTATGCTCGTTAACCTTTCCGAATCACATTTTGCCGAAGCTAAGGCCATGCTCCTGTTTCAAACAGGAGCATCCACATAGGCACTGTGGGCACAGTAGTTGGATGAGCGTTTTCTGAGAGAAACAAAGAGCCTTTAAAGTTATGCACGCTATTTGTGAACTACCTATATTTTCCATGGAAGGCCTTGGAACGCAGAAAAGATCGTTTCAGACAGGACAAAAAGATATGCGACATAAACATTACTGTCAGTCTGTCATGATATGGCGTTTCAGAGAAATTTACTGAGTCGGAGTTGCAGTTGGAGCCGATTTTGAATACGAAGCCGGAGCCACTAAAACATCCACCAACTCCGCAGCCCTGGTTTGCAGTTCCCGTTCAGCTAAAGTACCCCGTACAAGTGTACATGTTAATGTAGTTTCCACTTGGTGCCAGTGGAGCAGCGTAGCTAAAGTACCCCGTACAAGTGTACATGTAGTTTCCACTTGGTCCCATATCAGTGGAGCCGCGTAGCTATAGTACCCCGTACATGTGTATATCTAATTTCCACTTGGTGCCAGTGGAGCAGCGTAGCTATAGTACCCCATACAAGTGTACATGTAGTTTCCACTTGGTCCCATATCAGTGGAGCAGCGTAGCTATAGTACCCCGTACATATGTATATCTAATTTCCACTTGGTGCAGTGGAGCCGCGTAGCTATAGTACCCCGTACAAGTGTATATCTAGTTTCCACTTGGTGCAGTGGAGCCGTGTAGCTAAAGTACCCCGCACAAGTGTACCTATATCTAGTGTCCACTTGGTCCCAGTGGAGCCACGTAGCTAAAGTACCCCGTACAAGTGTATATCTAGTTTCCACTTGGTGGGGCCAGTGGAGCCGCGTCCGTGCTGCCCCGTTGCCTCTGCCGGTGCCCGCAGACACAGCTCTGCCTCGCTCCTACCCGCGGGCCGCGGCACGGCACCGGCTCCCAGACGCCATGGCTCCAGGGTCCTTCGACACGACGCACCTCTGGCGCACCGCAGCCGAGGCAGTGTCTCCAGCCGAGACAGACGTCAGTGTCTGAGACGGGCGGCCGTCAGCCAGGGACTCAGTGTCTCCAGCCGAGACAGACGTCAGTGTCTGAGGCGGCCGTCAGCCAGGGACTCAGTGTCTCCAGCCGAAGTCGGCCGTCAGCGCCAGGTGGTCAGAGGGGAAGACTGGTGTGGGCAGCGGCGGCCCGGCGCTCACCTCGGCCGCGGAGGGCAGCGGCACCACCTGCCGGCAGAGCTCCTCGTCAGACGGCTGGGGGGGAGGCTCCCCGTCAGACGGCTGGGGAGGGGCTCCCCGTCAGACGGCTGGGGAGGGGGGCTCTCCGTCAGACGGCCGGCTGGGGCTCCTCGTCAGACGGCTGGGGGGGGGGGGGGCGCTCCCCGTCAGACGGCTGGGGGGGGGGCTCCCCGTCAGACGGCCGGCGGGGGCTCCTCGTCAGACGACTGGGGAGGGGCTCCCCGTCAGACGGCTGGGGAGGGGGCGCTCCTCGTCAGACGGCTGGGGAGGGGCTCCTCGTCAGACGGCTGGGGAGGGGCTCCTCGTCAGACGGCTGGGGGGGCTCCCCGTCAGACGACTGGGGGGGGGGGGCTCCCCGTCAGACGGCCGGCGGGGGCTCCTCGTCAGACGACTGGGGGGCTCCCCCTCGACGGCTGGGGGGGGGGGCGCTCCCCGTCAGACGACTGGGGAGGGGCTCCCCGTCAGACAGCTGGGGAGGGGCTCCTCGTCAGACGGCTGGGGGCTGACGGCTGTTACGCTGTTATGGACCTGTGATCTGATTCAATCAGGTTCATTGTGATCATTGATCCGGCTCTTCCATTTTGTCCAGAGATCCACTGACAGCGTGCACTTCACCATGATCTTTATATAGGGAAAGTGGGGTAAGACGGACACCTTAACTTTGGCGCCATTTTCGGCCGGTTAGAAACATCATAGAAACGGGAAACTGAGTGAAAACCTTTTTTAGACATTTTACTTCTATTTGCCAGAAGATGAGACTTAGACCTGATTCAACAAATAAACTGCAGCTATTTTTGCAAAACCTTGTAAAAACCCGTCTTACCCCACCCCATGGGGTAAGACGGTCACATGGGTAGGGCAAGACGGCCAGCTTCTTTCACCGACCAGCAGAGTTCGCAAAAAAATGCCTGAGATTAGCCACATTGATACAGTCGCTCGTTGGTCTCAAGTGCTCCGGAAATGGCAGCATACGAGATTCGTGCAGAAGGCGTATTGCTCGTATATAGGCCCTAGTTCAGAAGCCATGTAGAGCCGTTTTTCACATTCATTATTTGAGAATAAACTGTGCCGAAGGAATATTGCTAACATGTCTGTGTGTATCGGAATCGAACATATTCTTATTAGAAATGCTTATTTTTTCCTACAGCAACACAAATATTTTCACCATTACAGACCCATTGGATTCAGGACAATTTGATGCAGACAATGCAAATCCGCGGTGAATGAACACTGGTGGCATACCTACCTATGAGTGTACCACAAGTGATTGCCAGTTTTTAACTCTATAGTGCTGCACACAAAAGCTTGCACAATACATTATGAATGTTTTCAATGAATTTAAAGAAATCAAAATAAAAGATTATTGACTGAACACAAATTCGCCAGACTTCAATGGTGGTGTGTAGTGGGAAAGGCAATTCTGGTCCTAATTTTTCTCTCTCGTAGCGCTATTGGTTTGGTCTGGTTTGGTCTGCCCGTCTTACCTACCCTGACCGTCTTACCCCACTTTCCCCTAAACTTTAGAACACTGTGGGCAAAATGTCACAATGCACACGCACACGCACACTCCCCACACACACACAACATTGAATAACGGATTGTTTGGTGCGCGGGAATCGTTCCGCGGCTTCAGCCGCTCAGCTGCCCTACCTGCCGCAGTGTCAGCTGCCCTACTTGCCGCAGTGTCAGTGTCAGCTGTCGTAACTGCCACAGTGTCAGCGGGTTTGCTGTCCTACCTGCCGCAGTGTCAGCTGCCCTACCTGCCGCAGTGTCAGCTGCCCTACTTGCCGCAGTGTCAGTGTCAGCTGTCGTAACTGCCACAGTGTCAGCGGGTTTGCTGTCCTACCTGCCGCAGTGTCAGTGGGTTACTGTCCTACCCTACCTGCCGCCGTTCTGTCCATACTCCATACCTGCCGTAGTGTCAGCTGCCCTACCTGCCGCAGTGTCAGTGGGTTACTGTCCTACCCTACCTGCCGCAGTGTCAGCTGCCCTACCTGCCGCCGTTCTGTCCATACCTACCGTAGTGTCAGCTGCCCTACCTGCCGCAGTGTCAGCTGCCCTACTTGCCGCAGTGTCAGTGTCAGCTGTCCTACCTGCCGCAGTGTCAGTCGGTCGGCCATGTAGAAGATGTGGTCCAGGGTGCCGGTGAAGCTGGACGTGCGACTGGTGACCTCTGGCGCGCCATACGCGCTCGCCAGCTGGTACGGGTGGCTGAAGGTGACCTCCGGCGCCCGGTGCTCGTCGCCTGGCCGGCAGGGCCGTGGGTTAGCAGCGGCCCGCCGACCGACAGGCGCACCTCGCGCAATCCCAGCCAACAAAATTGGTCTGGACCGTGTCTGGTTTCACTCTGGCTAGCTCCGGCACTTACGCCGGCCCAAGTACAGGCAAGGTCTGGAGCGCTCTACTGGAGCTGACGCACGATCCCGGAGCTCGCCCGCACCACAGCCGGACTTAAACCGTATCAGCCGTGCTGTACCTCAACTGTACTTCAGTCACAGTAAGCCAGAGCAGCTACGAGGCAGCCGGACCTGGCCGCACCACGCCGTGGCAGGGAGCCGGGCTTAAAGGAAATGGAGTTTTGAACTGGAATAACAGCAGGGTTGTGCTCGACTCAAAAAAATTTGCTGACTCGACTCATCATTCAACTTCAGAATGCCCTGACTCAACTCTGACTCAAACAAGTAGCTAATTTTTTCCCTTGACTCGACTCATGACTCAAGCGGCTCAATGAAAATATGAGTTGACTCAAACTTGACTCAAATTTTTTGTTGAGTCAAGTGTCTTGACTCAAAACTGACTCAGATAAAAAAGTTGTTGAGCGGGGGGGTGAAAAAAAAACCGGCAGCAGGGCCAGGCCTAAGTTGTAAAGCGGGGGGAGAATGAAAAACTTATTCTATATAGGTACCTATTGTTTCTAGAAAGTTGAGTCAGCTGACTCATGTTCCTACATGTTTTTGTTCCTACATGTTCCTTAACTCAATGTCAAAAGTTATTTTACTGACTCAACTCTGACTCAATTCAACACCTTAATATTTTTGTCTGACTCAACTCTGACTCAACTCAACAGCTCAACATTGTATCCGACTCGACTCAAATCTGACTCATTTGAGTCAGAGTTGAGTCAAATTTCTGACTCGACTCATGAGTCAAGCACAACCCTGAATAACAGTTCGTCACCGTGACCTTTTCAATCAATGTGTCAATCACCTTTGTGAAAATGTAACACTGTCGCTTCACATAATTAACGATCTGAAAAAAAAATCCACGTTTTAATTCGAGAAATACTAAAACACACCCTACCTCCTCTATCAGTTAACCAGAGCAGGTGCCACCCCCGGGCCTCTGCTGTGTCGGAGCAGGCCCCGTGCCATCCCCCGAGCAGCAACCCCCCCCCCCCCCCGAGCAGGCCCCCCCCGTGCCATCCGCCCCCGAGCAGTCCCTCCGCCCGAGCAGCCCCCCTGCCATCCGCCCCCCCGTACCATCCCCCGAGCAGCAACCCCCCTCCCACCGTGCCAGCCCCCCCGTGCCATCCGCCCCCGAGCAGCCCCCCCCTGCCATCCGCCCCCCGGGCCCCCATCCGCCCCCCCCCCCGTCCTCTTCCGTAGCTATCTCCTAAATGACTGCAGATATCGCCACCAAAGTTTCAGGACCTTTCTGTGCGGCGTGCATCCATTTTGCACATTGTGACCAATTTGTTTTGCAGAGGCTATGATAGGTTGGCCGCAAATTACGTCAGAATGACGTCATGTTCTGCCATTTTCGACCCAGAAAAGGTTTCGCAGGAAGAGGTGTCAGGCCTACAGAGCTGTAGAAACATAAAAATGTTCCGACATAAAAAGTGTAGAATTAACTGGCCTAGGTCAAATATGAGCACAGTTTACAGAAAGAGCGTTAAAAGAGTTGTTTGTTTTGTTGGGTAGGGCCCAGGCCCTTTCGGTCTGACAAGACCATTTCAGCGCCGGAAGGATGATAGGAAATGAGGGAGACATTGGTCTGGGCGGGCACCTTGGTGAGTCACCGGGGCTGAGCCTGTCCAACAGGACAGGCCGACCAGCCCCCCAAGTGCTCACTGCACACGGTTACGAGTGTGCCTCCTTAGGAGCTGCAGTGCACTCCGATGGGAGCCGCCCGCATGGAATAAAGTTGCCCGTCTAGGTCCAGCCCGGATCAGGGGTTGCGGCATGGAGGAGAAGGATTTGAATGTCCTGAGGATGGAAACGGCGAAACGGGTGTTAAAAGAGCTATTAACTACGCTTTTCCCCGGCACTGTAGCTCTATTCATTTCCGAGTCATGCAGTGGTTTGTTGAAAATTGTTGAAATTGGACCCGAAAATTGGCGAAATTTGACCTTGGATAACCTATGTGAACTAACCTTTGACCTGATCTAAAGTGACCAGAGTAATTTCGTCATTATTGTTTGCGTCCCTTCGAACGCTGCCTTTGGCGTGTTGGTACGTGGCTCAGAACCCGAGTTAGAAGCAGGGGTGCGGAGCCGGAGCTGGAGCCGGAGCTGCCGGAGCCAGCATATTTTGCCCGGAGCCGGAGCCGGAGCCGTGAAACAATATAGCCCGGAGCGGGAGCCGGAGCCGGAGCCGCGTCAAAAAAGGCGGCGACTCTGGCTGCTTTATTGAAGAGGAAAAAATATTGACCTAATTCGGTTTGACAGTACAAGGCAGTAAAACATGTGGTATTCAAAATAGCCTTGTTATGCAAATACAGAAGCAACGTGAATTAATCTTTCATCTTTTCTCTTCCACCCGTATTTAATAGTATAGAGGAAGTACTGAGTACTGGAGCCGGAGCCACCGGAGCCGGACCATTTTACTTGGAGCCAGAGCCGGAGCCGCCATGACATTTCACCCGGAGCCGGAGCCGGAGCCGGATCCGATTTTTTCTCCGGAGCCGGAGCCGGAGCCGGCTGAAATTTACACGGCTCCGCATCCCTGGTTAGAAGGACTCTGACCGGCCGAGGGGGGAGCGGGTGCCACCACATCGTTTTTTTTTTGCGACAGCTCGGAACGCGTCGGCAACAGAGAGCCAAAACTGGGCATAGCTACCTGACCTTTGATGCAAGCCGGGCCTTGTGACACATGCATTTTCACGGGAAGCCTCTGGTCGTCTTAAGGACCCTCTGTTACCCTCAGAGGGACTCTGCCCTCTGAAAAACATCACTGCCTCAAAGGGCCCTCTAGTGGCCCCCATGGGCCTTCTGGGTACCTGAAAGTGCCCTCTGTTTTCTCTCCAGGGGCCCTTTTTACCCCGAGGGCCAGTTGATTTTCAGAGGGTCCTCTTTGAGGTGGATGTGAGGGCCCTTTGTTCGCCTCAGAGGGCCCTCTGGTGGCTTCAGACTTCAGAGGACCCTATTTTGGCATCAGAGGGCGCCTCTCTGTGGCACCAGAAGGCCCTCGGAGGCCTCAAATGGCCCTATTACATCTCAGAGAGCTGTCTTTGACCTCAGGTGGATCGTTTTTACATCTTTGTGGTGTCTAATGGGGCCCTCTGGCCTTTGTTCGCCTCCAGAGGCCTCAAGGTCCTCCGATGATTTCGAAGGACCCTCTTTGATCTCAGAGGCCCTGATGACCTCATAGGGCTCATGGTGGTCTGACATAGCCTCATATCACCTCAGAAGGCCCTCCAGTGGCCTCAGAGGGCATTTTTTGGCCTTTGAAGGCCCTCCATTCGCCTTAGAGGGCCCTCTTTGATCTCTTTGATCTCTTCGATCTCAGAGGGCCCTCTTTGAGGTGGCTGAGAGGGCCCTTTGTTCACCTCAGAGGGCCCTCTGGTGACCTCCAGGGACCATCTTTGATCTAAGAGGGCCGTCTGGTGGCCTCATAGGATACATTGTGGCCTGAAATTGACCCTCGTACCACAGAGGGCCTTCTGTTCGTCTTAACCCTCGCCCATGTAGGGGGGTGCAACCCCCCCCCCCCCCTAAGGTTTTTCTTAGCTACACGCCGAACCGTTTCAGATAGCCTACTCAAATTTTCAGTACCCTATGGGGCATCCTTTGCGCAACTTTTGTTTTTTTTTTGTCGAGGTCATGTCAGGTCACGGAGTTACGGAGTTATGACGTCATAAAGGGAACAACCTCCGGCCAGATTTACGCTAAATTTGAGATTGCTTCACATTGGTATAAATGCCGACTGACCTGACACACTGATGGATTGTTTTAGAATCATAACTGGCTGATTTGACATTGGCACAATGTCCGTTGACATTTTGAAGGTTACTAATGGTCAAGGTAAGGTCAGTGACCTCAGTTGACCTGTAATGACCTCTTGCACTTGTATGCCTTTTCGGGGTATTTTGATGCCCTTAATTCGAATTTGCTATCCATTTCAGGCATCGTCGGTTGTTTCTTGTAGTTCATTTTGGGTCAGGGTCAGGTCAGTGACGTCACACGCCTGACGTGACCCAATGCACAAATGACCTTGCAGACTTCCGATGCTCCCAACGCATCATTTTTAGAGTTATGACATCGAAATACACACCAAACGATAGAGAATTGATCAAGGATCACGATTGTGAAGGTTTCAAGTCGATATCTCTTACCGTTTTGCCGCAATCGGCGCGGAAATCTGAAAAAGTTAGATTTTCCGAAAAATTGACCTTTGACCGGTCACAAGTAGGTCAAATGTTGACCTAGGACCAAAAAATATACCACCAATCGCGAGATCTCGTTGAGAGCAATCCGTTGGTCTTTTCCGCTAAGCTCTAAGACGCTCCGTTTTCAAACGCCAGGGGGGGGTCGCACCAACCCTCCCCCCTGCATGGGCGAAGGTGGCAAAACACCGTTTACGGGCGAGGGTTAACCCGCGCCCCGCTGGGCTATTCAGCCATACGCGCCCTGCTGGGGGGGGGGGGCAGATTCTGCCCCCCCCTGTCTATCTTCCGAACCGATGGTCGTAGAAAGACGGGGAAAACGGCAATCGAAAGCTCTCAACAAGGCGGATCTTAAGAGCCCAAATTTTTTTGCTTAAGTAGGTCAGAGGTCAGGTCAAGGTCAGGTCAAGGGTACAAAATGCAAGTTTCTACAGTATCGGGCTTGCACCGTAGTTGCCGAAGAATGGACTGAGACTGATTGCCCAAAACGTGTTCTTAGACTACCAAGATAATATTCGTTGCATACAATGTCATTCAAAGGTCAAGGTCAGGTCAGGTCAGGTCAGGTCACCAAAAACAAAATATAGAAAAGGGCATGTGCGACACATGTTTTATGGGTCATTTTACTCATAGAATTCAATA